ATGAGGTCATAAAATCATTTTTATCACCAAACAAAGCATTACAACAAATATCACATTTAATTTTAGATGATAATCTATGACAAATAAAACCAGAGATATAAATCACAACTTCTTTTAGATAGTTACTCATAGTAATTTTATCTGATGTAATAATATAATCGTGATCTTTAATATGATGAGTTTGGGGCTGTGAAATTATATCTTTATATAAAATAGCATTACYGTYGTTAATTATGTCGACTGGATCTTTGATAGCATCTTTTACACTAGAGCAATTTAATATATTAATTTCATCTAAGGGTATACAGTTTCCTAGAGATCCATCTTTGATTTTGGCATTTATTAATAATTTACGATAAGCAGATCTAAATTGACGAGCTGTAGGATTATCATTGTGGCCACCGTGAGATCGAATTGTACCAAAAAAGAGCTCAATATGATYCTGGCTAAGTTTATAAAAGCAAAGAAATTCAAGTAAATCGGGCTTCAAATAATTATTGTATAATGAATTTAATGATTCGAAACAAATGAGGAATCCTAGGAAACCAGTTTTCCTTGCAGATTTTAAAACTGGAACATTAATGACTTGACCATTTTTATTTTCCACTAATTTTAAATTTTTAATATAATTAGAAAATTCTTCATAAAATGTGTTGATTTCAATAATATTTTTTTTACAGACAGCTTTTGATTTCCCATACTGGTTTATTGATCTAGAATTTATGATGTCGAATGCGTCATTGAAATATTTAATAAATGCAATAGTAGGACCACTGTCTTTAAAATCAGGAAGTTTTAAATTATCTCTACAAAACTTAAGAGCTTCAGACACAGATCGACTTAAAAGTTGGGTCGCTAACTTCACCTTCATTTTTTGTCTTGAGTAAAAAACATGCTGCTTTTTAAGCTTATTGGCTAAATGGCAACCTTCATCTTCTTGTAAGATTAAAAGCTTATTGATGTATTCAAAATCAATGACACCCCCATTTATATCAATAAATTTACGTTTTTCACCAAAAGCATTTCTTATTAACTTTACCATATGAGCTGGATCTGGAATTATTGATATGGTTTTGACAACGCCATCAACTTTAAAACTGGTATTCAAATTGTCAATATCCAAAACACAACCAAGAATTTTGACCATATTYATGTTGGTAGGGCATCCATCAAATGTAAGAGAGACAATTGTTACACCAGTTTTACTTAGAAGGTCTATACAACGATTAACKAATTCTGCTTTCTGTGAACTATTAATATGGTTGATTAAAAAATAGCCAACAGGAATTTTCCATGCCTCATTAACAGCAACTACTAAAAAAACTAAACTCTCTTTAGCTTTTTCCATGCTTTCATTAMAAATAGAATCGCCAATATTTACATAGCCATGGTAATTTGTTCCATCCCATTCTACATGCTGCCTTATAGCCATTTCATCTATAACTAATGCACAATACACAGGGTTTGAAGTATTTTTACATTTTAAGGCAAGA